TGACGGTGTCAAACTCCTTTGAGAGATTCAACGCTACTAGAACACTTCTCTCACAAGTGCGCTTCCGGTTAAGACCACAAGTTATCTGGGTGTTTATGGCGTTAAGTGCTGTTGTTGTGCTGTGCACTTTACGGAACCCATGCTGATGCCTCGTGTCTTCGCTACCGGAAAGAGTAGGGTTATCCTTTGTTGGCTGGTTTCCCCGGTTTAAGAAGTGGAAGCGCCCTCCCCGTTTTCCAGATGTCAGGAATGATGAGGGTGGCCATACACAACTGAGGACCTTAGTTAAATAATCTACTCCCGCAGGACCAAATTTTTTTAGCCTCAGCATGCAAATTCCGTTGGAGCCTATGGCTTTGGAGGCTTTCGCCTTCCCGATGGCTACCTGAACTTCACCGCAGTTTGTGCAGCCTTCTGGTCACTATAGTGACATATATAGTTGCATAAATCAAAAGAGCATGCCCAACTTAGTAAATCTGTATCAAAACCCCAAAATCGTGATTTTGCACATGCGACTTCTGTTTTATGAGGCGACGATATGCTCTTCCTTCTTCTTCCGTTTATATTCGTTCACAAGTTGCCGAAGTTCCATATTAAGATCCCTGATACTGGGATTTCGGGATCGGTATGACGAAGACTGTCACGATCATCGGCTAGAACAGCCGCTTCATCCGAAAAAATCGGACGTAGGTCCGAAATTCATCCAGCTGGAAAGAAGCGAGCTGCAGCAGCAGTGACAACCCTGTGGAACTTACGCTCACCTACGTGAACTGTGTTGGAGTGTGTGTGTCGTGTTGGAGTGTGGTTGTGGTGGTTTTGGCTTGCTCGGGCGAACTCCGGTGTGCCGTGGAGGCGGTCCGATTTGCGCAGCATGGAGCCACGTACCACGCGGTCCACTGCCAGTGAGTTCTTAAGCCCGAGCAAGTGCGGAGGTGGCTCCACCCGTTGCAGGTATTACACCTGACTGAGGTGGAGTTAGGGTGCAATCGTCTCTGGCACACGAAGCAGGTGTATGTTTCTGGTCCAGGGTTTGATTCAATGCCAGCCCGGAGCAGATGTAGCCCCATTTTCGAACAACGTTGAGGGATTTCGCGACCTAAATGGGGTTACATCGCCGAAACAACAGCCCGTGGTCGGGTGAAACCCAAGTCATTCCGGTACGTAGCACCGGCTGTCGTGGGAATGTGTTATTATTCGGTATTTTTCATTGTTGTAAAATGAATAAAAAATGTATAACCCAGGGCCCGAATCGCGGCTTTCGTCATCGAGTGATCACGGCTAGTTTGGCTTTATGAAGTCTAGCAGCTGCAGGGGCAGAGGGCATGCTCTCACGAAAGGTCCAGAAGCTGCTACTGAATACTCGTCCCACTCTCCCGCGCGCTGAGCGCGATTGAAGAGTCTGCGTTCCTCTTTCCTGAGTCCTGAGAGCTCCTGTGAGCACCAATTTTCTTAATTTTGACCTCAAACTACACAGGTTAAACCCCCGCTACGTTATACGTAGCCATGTCTGTTTTTGGGGTTTTTCTTGAGATAACCTGTCCTGACCTCAGCTCCCAGTACAAATCGGATTCTGTTATCCTACAAAGAGGGCTCTGGTGAGACCCACCACTAGCTGATCAGAGTGATTTAAATACTTCCTATCTAACCCTAGTAACAAATGTTGGTCTATGACCGACATCGTATATAAAAAAAATTTTCACTACTAATCACGCAGGTTCTGTAATTCACTCCCAAGTGAATTTTAACCCCTGCCGATTTGAAATCAAAGCGAATTTGATTGGAATTCACTCGGAAGTGAATATATTATAAAAGTCACTCGCCTCTAAGGCTTGAGTCCGTGCTGCCCCACTCCACATTTTTAACGTGCGCATCGCAGCCTAAAATTACAGGAATACGCCTCCTGCGACAGAATTCCAACAGATGCTCTACCTAAGGTGGGAGCACGTTGACGTTGTGCCCTGTGAAATAAGCCGCAGAAAAAACGACCTTCGTACTTCTGTGTTAAGAACTCTGTAATGCAGAAATAGTCAATATCATTCTTCAATACTACACACGCTTCTCACCGCGTGATGCAGGTTGAAGTGGGCTACTGCCAATTGCGGTGTGTTCCTAACTTGGGTTCGCCCAGATCCGAGAGCCGGAAATCGCCCTCGCTACGCATGTCAAGCTAAAAGCTGCTGATGTCTGCTATCAGCTTCTGGGTGGTAGGCACATATGCGACCTGGCTGATGGTGTTGCTTGATTTAAAGGCGTCAGCAAGAGCTGGTGCCTTGATCTAAGCTGGTTACTGGTTAGCCGGTAAGCGGTCGACTCACTCGCTTTAGCGGCAGTGAGTCAGCCGCCGCATCGACTTGCATGTCTTGCGACTCCGACTCCTTACTGACTGTCGTCTTATGTCGCTACGGCCTTACCATGACACGGCTAAACCGGTAGTTGACGTTGAAGACAAGCCTCTTAATGCTAACGTACTACTCCTTACCAATGCCCAGATTCAACCTGTCCCCGCTGTCCTCGGTGCTGCAGGATATCATCTTCCACGTGGAGGTATGGATACTCTCATTCTGGGCCTAGAGCAGACACGTATAGCACAGGATAAAATCGAAAAGACAGGACAAGCTTGAGTCTAAGGTAGATGAGTTGCAAGGTCGTATCCGTGATTTGCGGTTGAATTGTCCAGCTACTTCACGAACACTCCTAAGGTAAAGACTCCATCCTTTGAAAGCACAATTCCTTCCCAGGTCTTAAAGCTTCAGTTCGAGAAGACCGCTACAGCAAACAGTTGGAGCAAGGAGAATAAATCCTCTGCGCTATTCGTTGCATTTAAATGAACTGCAGCGGAAGTCTCGCAAACTGTTCCGTAGTGTCAAAGGGAACACTGCGATGTATTGATGGGTGCTGTGGAAAGGCGTTATGGTTGCGAGCACAGGAGACAGATTTACCAGATGGAATTGGAGAACCGCTACCAAAAAGCCAGCGAGCCTGTACAGGAATTTGCCTCAGAGACTCAGGAAACGGCAGCGCTCCTAAGTAGACCAGTCAACAAAGCCCATCGAGTAGAAGTGGAATCACCAGACGTTATGAAAGAAATCCAGGAAACAATTAAGTCCATGGCAGGAAAAAATAGTCCCGGTGCAACCCAGAGAAAGGATGGTGCTGGAAATGCTTAAGTTGCAGAAAACCAGGCCACTTCGTAAGCGAATGTAAGACGGGTTCTAGCAGTTACAGCAGTTAAGCAGGAAGCAAACGCAGGGCTGAAGAGGACAAACCCAACTCCAACCAATCGTTTAACAAAAGCGAGGCTGCAGGAAGGGCCGCGCGCTGGCTCCCGCAATTGAACGACCTATAATCTCCATCTTGAAAATTGACTGAAAGGCGAGCAACGTCATTGTTGGTGGATGGACATTAGCGAGTACTAACTGTGGATATGACATTTCATTATTCGATATGATTTGGTCACTTAAGAGGTAAGCCCTTTGCCTGGAGCAAGGTTGAGGACAGCAACTGGTAAGGACATAAATGCATGGACGGAAGGGTTGGAAGGAAAATATCAGAACAAGGCTAACGAACTTCTCCGCAGATAAACCAACATATTCGACAAGGATGGAAACAAACCAGGGAGGACCACCGTTCTGAAACATCGCATTGATACTGGTGATGCAAGGCCGATTCGTGAAGCTCCTCGAAGTGTTCCACTAGCCAACATGAAGCTGTGATCCAAATCATAAAAAAAGTTAGCGAAAGAGGTGTAACTGAACCGTCAGCGAGTCCATGGAGTTCACCGGTAGTACTTATGAAGAAGAAGTCTGGCCAAATGAGGTTCTGCGTGGGCTACCGAAAACTAATGTCCCTATTATGTATGGCGACTGATAGCCAATGCGTAATCATAAACTAAAATTCGCATTACGTATGACAACTGGCCTCTGACTGCCGGCTACTGAGTCTAGTAACGCAATTTTCTGTTTCCCACTTATGACGATTTTGTCATTTGATTACATAAATTGTTAAACACATTGGAGAAAAGTTGCCAATTACATACTTCGAAAAGGACATGACAAAAAAGTAAATTCGGACTTTGTCTGCGCTTTTCTATATACTGCGATTAATCGCCATATAGACCAGCAACTAGACGCCAGTCACCATACGTAATAGGACCGTAATGATGTGACGAAGAACGACAGCCATTTGCCCAGTATCGATGATACTCTCGACTCGTTGACTGGCACGGGATGGTTTTCAACGCTAGACCTTAAGAGCGGTTATTGGCAAGCGGAGGTAAGTGAGGAAGACAAGGAGAAGACAGTATTCAGCGTGGGGTGGGGAGTGTTTTGATAATTCACGGTAATGCCCTTTGAACTATGAAACGCTCCTGTCATTTTTGAAAGACTTGTGGACCATGTGCTTAATTAAGAGACAGCATTGCAGTGGCAACTATCTAAAGAAGGAGAAATCGCTGACACGGAAAAATCTAAATTCCGCAGATTTCTGCGCTACGGGCCACAACTACAGAAAAATTCTGCGGTGTTGAGTTTTCATTTGCATGGCGCTTTGGTAAGACAGATCGTGTCAGCTGACTCGGGTTTACGTACCGGTAGGTTTACGTTCTTGACTAATTTCAGCTTGGTATCAATGGTATACCAATTGATTGAAAAGTATATTGATATTGTTGAACAACAACTACAACAACCCTATACTTCCGGTAGTGCATTCCAGTGACGTCCGGTAGTTTTCCATCTATGCTTTATGCACATATTCGCAATGAAATTTTTAGAAAATGCGTTGTGGCAACTCTGATTGCATTTGTATCATTCTTGGTTTTTTCCTTCCATTTCGTAAGTAATTTCGGTAATTTTTCGCTGCGGCCGCATGTATATTTAATAGATTCTTTCATTTGCAT